CAACTCCCAGAATTCCCTAGCCAGCATGGCTGGCTGGGGAATTCTGGGAGTTGAAGTCCTCACAGCTTAAAATTGCCAAGTTTGAAAAACACTGCTCTACCTCATTCAGGAACCAGGCATCCTCTGCATTTTGCCCAAATTCCATGCTCCTTTTAAGGAAGCTATAACAGCTAAGCTCTTCCAAATTGGAAATCCATTTATTATTTATTGATAAGTGCTTCTACGTTACTTCAGTCAATTGAATCTAAGTGGCTTGCAAAATGTGTAATCAACCATAAACCAATGGAACAGTCACTATTATCAGCCAGGTCATTGGCTTTAAAATGACGGGCACAACTGGGCACTCAAAGCCCAGCTTCTTTTTAATGTGTGTTGCCTGCATTCCATGTGTGTGCATACACTCACACTCACACACACATGTATCTAGTCATTCACTGTGGGTGACTGTGGCCCAGCTGTTCTCTCATAATTCAACCTACCTCACAGGATTGCTGTTGCGGTGGTGCAAAATAGGAGAAAGGAGCATTATGCATGCTTCCTGTACTCTTGTTCAAAAGGTGGGATAAAAATCCAATAAATAAATAAATAAATAAGGGACAGGGCTTCATTCACCTGGTTATGCCTCCTATTTTGAAGCCAGTGATCACTGTTGTGGATCCCCCTGATTACCAACACCCATCAATCATCTCAGGGACCTTCTTCTCTTCAATTCTTCAGCCCCTAATGCTCTCTGAAAAAGCCTGGTCTGGACTAACTTCCTAAGGGTGCAACTCTTATTTCTGGAGGTAAAGTATCCCCCAGAAAGGGAGCCCCAGAAGAGAATACTTGCTTCTGTGTCTCCTTTTGTGGCACCTTGTGGCGGTAGGAATTTTCAGCATGCATCCTCTGCTGGGACACCTTGGACAGGCAAATTCTAGCTGGAGTAAGTAGTCTTGCAGATAACCAGAGCTCCAAGCCACGTAGAGCTTTACCAGCTCTAACCAGCACCCTGAATTGTACCCAGAAACAAACCACCAATTCCTGCAGCTCCCGTAGTACTGGTGTAATATGACAGTATTAGATTGCTCCCATTAGTGTACGGGCAACTATATTCTGTACTGGTTGCAGTTTCTGGGTAGCCACCAAGGGCAGCCCCAGGTGGAGCCAGTTATAGTAATCTAAACTTGTTTGTTGTCAGCGGAATACCCAAAACTAAGAACTTCAGGGTTTTCTGGAGAGGAAACAAGGTTGTACGGCATTGTTATTAAAAAAAAAAAGAAGAACCAGCACACTGACCTTTGTGTTTTCTCTCTGCACACAGGTGTCATTTGTGTGTACCTAGCTGGACACCTCATTGAGAGCACAGGCTCTTGGGTCTCTGTTTTCAATCTCGTGGCGATAGTGAATGCCCTTGGACTTTGTACGTTTCTCATCTTCGGAAAAGCTCAAAGAATGGACCTAGACCCCGTCTACATAGAATTATAAACATATCCACAGACTTATCGGGAGGTGTCAAGATGCCAGAATGGAGAACTTAAAAAAGCAGAATTCCAGGGAAACCATACTGGCTATGGAGTGATGAAGGTCCATGCATTAACAAATTAGCTCCAGAGTTACCTAGTGATCTACTAATCTTTCACTCTCACATGGTTGGCATGTGTTTCACCTCTTTGATTAGGTGCTATTCCCCCATCGTTCCCAAAGTGGGTTCCCCCCACCCCCATGCATTGGAGATCTAGCCAACATTAAACTTACGTTGGCTGTGTTAGTTGGGGATTATGGAAATCCAGTATAAATCCAGTATATCTGGAGAGACCAGGGCAAATTGTGTGAGATGACCTGAGAAAACAGTTTAAATATGCTGACTCTGGCTTCAATGCTTTTTGCAGCAGCAGGTTGTTACATTGCAGGCACGTACCCAAAATGTGCAGCCACGTAGAGCTTGCTCCTGGTTACTTTCCTGTGTGATAGGAAGGGCAAAGACCCATTCATATCCACCCCCCCCAAAACAATATTTATTTTCTCCAACATTCATGATGATCATCTGGGCGACAGCAAAAGCATGCAGAAACTCTAACATATATTTTGATACTGTTTTTAGGAGTTTTGAAGCCATCGTTGTAAGTGTCCTATGGACACACAAACCCCAGACTTAGTATGAGCTGCTGCTTCTGTAATTCTAAGACTTCTTGATGATGGCTTCTCTTTCTTTTGTTTCCTTTGGACATACATGTAGATCTCATAATTGCTTAGCTGTGTGACTCAAGGGATGTATATATGTCAAAGGCTGGTGAAGTTCTGGCCACAGGCATCCTCACACGCTGACCAAAAGGATTGCCAGGAATTCATAAGATTTCCTTTAAGATCTCCTGCAAAATCCTGCAAAATCTCCTCCTTCTCTTGTGATCTACTGCAAAATCTCTCAAATCCATAAATTATTTGCATGTTGTTCCAGTGTACATACATATACATGCGGACACCCGCACATATTGTAGTTATGAACATGTATGACACCTATACAGTGATGTTGGACCAGCTCTGTTAAAAAAAATCAATGGGGTGGGAGACTGGCCAAGTACCAGCAATATTATCCATCAGTTTTTCACAGCCTGAGATCCTTCAGATGTTTAAAGTTACAGCTCTGTCACCCCAGTGGCCAAGCCCATTGTCATTGTTGGCAGCCGTAGATCAGCATGTCTGGAGGACCTCGGTTCAGAAAAAATACGACCTTATGGAGAATGAGTGAGCAGATTATGCAAAGCCCAAACTACAGTTATATGACTGTATTCCACGTAATATCCAGTAAGGGAGCTCAGATTGCCTACTTATTCTCATTCTCATCATGAGAGAGATAGAAGCAGCCCAATTTAGTTGGGCCTCCTGGGATGTCTAATGGATCTGGACAGCATAAAAAGTCCAGAGTGTTCCCACCAGAATTGTCACAGGCCATTCTGATTGCTGGAAGAACAGTTTCATCCAGATCAAATTTCATACAAAGGAGAGGTTGGAATAAATCAAGAGATGAGAACCTTGGATTTGGTGAATTGCATCTCTAGGTCAACCTTCTGCAATTGGTGCCCTGCAGGTGTATTGGACTTGGAATATGTAACCCAATACACCTACAAAGCTGCTCTAGCTTAACAAAATTTTCATTATTTCCAGGATTTCTGTCTCTCACCAGTGCTTATATTAACTCAGGATGATAAAACAGCAGGATACTAAAATCTCACCCTCTTGTTGGAATTCATTTGTTGGAATAATAAAAGCCAAGTGTACAAATATTTGGATGTTAGGTTCAGGACCAGGGGTAGGGGTGGGCTTCTCAGATTGCTGACACTAACAATGCAAGAAGTTCTTTTGTAATGATGGTCTCAGGTTGAAAGAATCTTCCTGTGTGTTCTAGGCATAGGAAGGTCATATTGATGTCTTAGTACTTGAATAGAGTTGTAGAACCAGTGAAGATCCAACTGGATGCTCTAAAAATGGCATCTATTTATTGGGTTCCAAAACACCTTGTTCTATTTATGGTTCCTGACTTCAACCCCATTCTATGTTTCTCCAGCTGACTCTACCAGTAGTGGTCAGTGATGTGGAAGTCAGTGGAAAAATGTGACTAGTCATGACTTGATAAAGGTTAAATTGTATTATATGTTACAGAGAGGAAAGAATAGCCTCATGTTTGTTGCAATGTCTTTTCAGACCTGAAGAGTCTGTTCATAATTGAACTGTTTGCATGTTTCATTCCAGCAGGGGTGGGCAACCTATGATCCTGTAGATATCACCAAAACTTCATTTCCCAGCATCCCTCATCATGTTGCCCAGAGCTGCTAAGAACACCGGTTCCCACTCCTGCCTTCGTTATGCTGTTTGCAGCTATTAGTTGAATAATTACCTCACTTAACCCCTTTTTAATGCCTCCTGTGGACACATGGATTTCACCTTTTGTGCCTTTTGAGAATGGTATACTTGACTGCCAGAACATAGGGCATCTTTTTGGTTCTTGCTGAATTTTATCTGCCAAAAGAATGGAGAGAATTCCAAGCAAAACCAAGTTTTATTTAAATAAAAGTTGAGATGTTTTCCATCAGATGTGAGCTATGGTGGACTGTAATTACTGTTTATGTTACTTTGGTCTTCTGTTAATAAGCTGCTAAATACCTAAACCCAACAAACCTTGCTGGATTCCATTTTGCTCAAGAATAGAAGAATCTGGGTTGAAAATGTGGCTCAGGAGGACAGCTTCCTATTGATCGATCAATTAATTGGCCTAGTAA